AGAGGTGAGGAATCTTATTGCTAACCTTCCCCATCCTCCATCTTCTGCAACAACCTCTGTGCCACCTCCTCCCTCTACAGGCACAGACTTTGCCACAAGAGCAGATCTACGGGCTCTTTCAAAGGCACTTATCTCTTCATTCAATGAGATAAATGCAAAGTTTGTTGCTCGATCCATTGCACCCACCACTGCACTGAGTAAGAGTTTACAACGCCAGCAAGAACGTACAAACACTTTTCTTCACACAATGGAAGAACGGCGCAGAAAGGATCGACTGTGCACTCCCGCTTCCCACATTCGCATGTGGAAAAAGAAGAATCGATCAAGAGTTTTCTGCTCTTCCAGCCGCCCCTACAAACGCCCAAGGCATGAAGACCAAGACCCCGATGATCAAGGTCTTGGACCTCATGAGGGGGAGACAGAGGCGGCTGCTACTCAACAAACAGGATCCGCTGCACCACAACAACCATCCCAACAACAACCATCCCAACAGCAACAACCAACAACCTAACAAACCCAAGCTAGGGAACCAGAGGCCTTGCCCTCTGAAGAAGAACAGAATATCCAAGTTCCCTTAGCCACAACTCCAGACCCCATCATGTTGAGTTCCTCAACCGATGAAGAACCAACCACCCCACCAACACAACAAAACCAACCTCTTTCTTCTACACCCACAACAAATCTACCTTAACCCCTTCACCAACACCTCACACAACTCAACCCTTCATCTTCTCCACACAACCAGAACCCACAACAACCAAACCTTCTTCACCCCAACAACCGGAACCCATAATAACCCAACCTTCATCACCCCAACCAACCAAAGAAAAATCATCCACTACCGAAACACAACCAGCCGAGACACAACCCATGGTACACGCAGACATTCCTTATTCCTCAAGGAATCCTCCTCAAGGCCTGGTGGACGAAATAATTCAAAACATGGAGTCATTAAGGAGAAGACCTCAATTGCCGTCCAGGGAACCAATAATGATGGAAAATATCCATCAATACATGTACCGAGAACAAGAAGAAAGCCTGTCAACCAATCTGCCAATCCTATCGCCAGAATCTATGAACCTTCTACATCATCGTTTCATAAGACAGACTACTCAACCACCACATGCTGTCTTTTCGAATGATGGAATAAGAAGAGTCATAGACTTGAAGATAAAGTGATTTGCCAAGAGAGCCATACGCTACATCGAGTTCAATATAGAGAGAGCCCATGGGGTAGTTAGCGTGTTCAACGAGAACGACCTCATCAACCTCAATCCATATGACTTGATTGAGTTATATGCCTACACTGCTCAAAGGCAAGATCATGGGATACGATTTGGAATGGCGAACAGAGCTATTGTCAAGACAATGGAGTCCTTGGTAGAGCTCAGAGCCAATACAGATTTTGAAATTGCATTCAGGCTAGGCATTGAGAGATTATCCTGCACTCCTCCAAATGAAGATTT